GACTTTGCATGAACTCTCTCACGTCATTCACATAAGCACAGGATAGAAGGTTATTGCCTGTTATTTCCTTGTTCTCCACCACCAGCTCTTGTTGTGCCTGATCCTTTGGCCTGGTGTGCTGACCAACTCTGACACATCCTGTATGCCACATCATTCAATGAGCACACATCAACAACACAAAGTTATATAAGACATGTATATGACTTACAATGCATTTAATATAATGGGAGGGCAACCTCTGGTGGCAAGCAGACGGAAGTTCATGGACAGGATTCGTGACAGTAATATTTCACAACATGAGAGTTTCACTGTATTGTTATCACATGAAAAAATACATTTTGAAATGTAAAAAAAGGTGTTTTAAGGTGTAATAATATGTCACAATGTAACAGTTTTTACTGTATTTTTGACCTAATTATATTTTTGTTTTCCAAAAACATTAAAAACCATAACTTTTGAATGGTACTGTATCCCTAAGAAACTAGGAATTTTAGAGTTTCTGGTTTAAAACCTGACAAATTTTACAGAGCTTCCTTAGAATCAAATAGTGAGTGATGATTAGTGAGAAATTGTTAAGATTATGTAAGAAAAAACAGGTTACAGGTAGTTATTCGGTGTCCGTTTACGGGCCCAAGTCAAAAAAACGCCGACCACATCTCTATTATATGGCTTGATGTTTTTTTCCCTCATTTTGGTATCAACGGACAAGAAAACTGTCTGTCCACTCACATAGTTACGTTTTAGCACACCTCTCCCTAACAATCTGCCTCAAGCAAACACCACTAAATGATGCAGTTTACCGCATTCCTAAGGTTAAAGTCAACTGCAAGCGAGCCTGGCGTCCATTCAGCCGCCCAGAGCATGTTTAAGCAGCATCAAAATTTATTCAAAAGAGTTCCGAAAATCGAAACATATCATGGGATATTTGTTTTGAAGGTGTCTGGGATCTAAATGGACAAGCCCCAAGGTTTCTGCTTGACCATGCCAGGCCTGTCAGCTCTTCAGGCTTAAAGTTCACATTGAGGATGCAGACAATATTTTGGCTGTTCAGACTGGAACAGCTTGCCCTCTTCATCCTCGGGCACCATCCAAGAGCTTTGGCCTCTTCTTCAACCCATCAACATCTCCAGCAGTGGGCCTGAAGGGGCATTCTGGTTCATAAGTCTCTATACTGTTGGATTCCACTAGCCGTTTTTAGTTTGTTGGTAATTGCTGCTCATTTGCAAAAAGTTGAGCTTAGCTTCATCGCACCATTATTGCTCATGCTGCCGGAAGCCACCAACTCTTATTGAAAACTAATGAGTTCCAGTTGTTTTATCGCAGAAAATCGCCCTGTGTGTGAATGCTGTTAGCGTTTGACAGACCGCTGAGAGCTTAGCTGTTTAGAGTCGGCATTTAATTCTTGTAGCGACGGCATCCAACCAGGGAATCTGATAAGCAGCAGGTGGCAAAGGGGATCTGAAATGCTATTGATTGTTTTGAAGAATGAGAATTAGCCATAAGGTGTTCTCTAGTGTGTTGTGAGCACTTACGTTTCAAAAGCAGCTGTTAAGTCACTGTTAATGTAGAGCTGTGCGACAGAAGTATTGATTGTTCAGAAATAAACAAGTAGAACACAATAGCTTGTTCCTTTTTTAGCTCTGAAGTACCTTAAGTGATGTTTATTAAGGCATATTTTTGCCTTTGTGATGTTAAATGTCATGGCCATTTTCAAGTTATGTGACCCTGTCATTGTCCAAAAAAAAAAAAAAAAACTT